CTTTTCGGATTTGAACTCAGCGTGTTCGACAGTGTTAGTTCCCGTAAAAATATTTCAGTTCCAAGACATGCATTACGAAAATTTCTAGGCACTTTTCAAGGCCACAGCAAACGGCCTATCCAGTTTAGAAACAATTTAAGCAATTCTTTTTAATAACAGTAAATATTGTTGTAAATATAGATTTTTAGAATAGGTATAGTTATAAATAGTTGGTGTGATATTCGAAAGGATTTTACCGACTTAATACATATAGATGTAGACTAGGAGTTACTGTCACAATTAAATTGCTGCCTCAAATGGCACATGTTAGCAAGGAAACAACTTAATTTACAGTGAAACGGATATATAGAATCACTTTAATTAATAAGGCGCAAAAATATGAGAGAAAACTAAGAAACGTAGGGAGAGACGGAATTGGATTTACCCTGTAAGTAGTGCGCCAAATTTTACCGTCGCTAATTTTTGCAAACTTTTCTTCTCTGTTAACTTCTTGCGTGTCCGGTATACCCATTTCCATTGGCCATTGTTCCTCTGGCAGTGCTAAGAAAGACGGACCGTTAAACCATCTACCGTTGAGCTCTTTCGGTGTGATACCTTTGGTCAGGTCATCAGCAACATTTTCAGCGGTGGGACAATGATACCAATCTCGGGGACTAGCATTCGACTGAATTTTGCTGACTCGGCACGACACAAATGGTTTGTAGGAATGTGGCATTCCTTGGATCCAGGCTAAGGCTACTCGGCTGTCAGAAAAGAACATTGTTCTTAGAATTTTCAGTCTCGTTTCCTCTTGAATTGACTTCGCTAGACGACTCACTAGTACGGCAGCTTGCAACTCCAGACGTGGGATCGTTAACTCCTTTAAGGGCGCAACCCGAGACTTTGCTGCTACAAACCGAACTCCAAATTTTCCATCTGTCAATTTCCATCTAACATAGGTACACGCTCCAAAGGCCTTTCGGGATGCATCACAGAATGTGATCAGATCTGGATTAAGTATTGCACCTGCTGGAGTGAGGCATCGTTGAAATCGGACGTTGTTAAGTGCAGCCATTTCATTAAACAACAATGTCCATTTTTTCTTGATCAGATGGTATATCTTCATCCCAACTTAGACCATGCTGCCAAAGCTCTTGTATACCGATCTTCGCTTTCACCAAAGTGGCTGCTCCGGCTCTGATGGGATAAAAAATGCCAGCTAGCTTGCTGAGGATGATACGTTTTGTCATTTCGGATGGCTTGGTAGACGTAGGCGTTGCTTCATTAGATAATTCATTGGGATACTCGATCTTTACTGCAAACGAGAACTGATCTTGCTTTGGATGCCAAACCGTTCCGAGAACCTTTTGCATATTGCTTTCTTCATTTGCTCCGAGTACTACTTCATCTCTGCTTTCTTTATCAGTCAATGGTCCGTTGGATATCCATTCTTTTATGTGAAAACCACCAGCATCGAGAATTTCGTCGATATTCAAAATCAGCTCTTTAGCGTCTGCCACAGAAGCTTGTGAATCACATACATCATCCATGTAGGTGTTTTCTTTAATTGCTTCAGCTGCCTTTGGTTTGCTATCTTCTTTCAGTTCGGCTGTTTTGTGTATTGCTACTGTTGCCATAGCTGGGGCTGGACGATCTCCAAAGGTCAAAACAGTTTTAACATACACGTCTGTTTCTCGATCTGTTTCCATATTACGCCACAGAAACCGATGGACATGCTGATCTGAAAGTGGGATTGCAATCCTGTGATACATTTTGGATATGTCACCAACAACCGCTACTTCTTTTTCTCGAAATCGTAGCACTACTCCAAAGAGATTGTTAAGCAAGTCCGGTCCTTTGTACCAATACTCATTTAAACTGTGGCCATTGTATGAGGCAGAGCTGTTAAAGACAATTCTAACTGGAGTGCTTCTCTTTTCTGGGCGAACAACATCGTGGTGAGCAATGTAATGGACGGGTCCTTTCCATTCTTCAATTTCATCCTTCGTCAATTTCCAAGCGAATTGCATCTTTTCCATTTCTTGTATCTGCTCATCATAACTCTTGGCATGAGCAGGCTGTTTACTGAGTCGACTTTCCAAAGGTGTCTGAGATTCTGTTCAAATTGACATGGGTCATATCATCAGAGATGTGTGGTATTCCAACCGCTTGGACGACTTGAACTCTTTTACCATCATGGGTGGACACTGGAACCTTGTATATCTTTGTGTCTAACTCTTCTTCTGTGCCTCCAACTTTAGTGATAACTATCTTGTACTGTCTTCCTTCAAGCCCCATTTCTTCGGCAAGGTCTTTACGTGCCATTGATATTTGAGCACCACTATCATAGAAAACATTTGCAGCTTTTGTTCCATTCTTTCCTTTCACTTGACCGAGAATCACTGGAAGCAAGGCACCACTACCATCATCATGGATAAAACCGATGTGGGGAGGTTCAGATCGTCTTCGCTCATCAGATCACCCTCAGATCGTCTTCGCTCATTTTTCTTTCTATCAGGGAGATCACATGCGTATTATCCATGTCCTGGGGCGCTTAATTTCTTTCAAGATGTTGTAAGATCGTCTCACTAAATTTACTAATTGGCAGAATCGATGATCTTCTCCAGGTTGAATACTTCTGAATCTTTCTAGATCTAGGGTAATCGTGTCTGATACGATTCTGGGGTCACCATAGTTTTGGTCTAGGTACTTCCATGCAGCATTTAAATCAGAGCTTATTCCTTCGATTAATTTGGCAGGCTCAGAACTTAAACATGAACGTAGCACTGTCAATGTATCTCTTTCGGAATATTGTGCTTCGACAGCGTGTTTAAAATCTGACTTAAATATGAAATATTGTCGAACATCACCAGTGAACACAGGTAATTTGGCTTTTTCATGCTTAACAGTAAAGGGCTTGGCTGAACTCGGACTGTGTTGTATCAGGGTTTTGCATCGTGCTTGGGTGATTGTTCTCATTAGAAACAGTAGACTGTTCAATCAGATTGTTACTTCCTTGACTATCATTACTTTCCTCATTGTTCTCTGCACTCGATTCACCAACAACACTGTCACTGACATTCTGTTTACTTTTATCCTCTTCTATTTTCTTAATATAATCATGATAACGCATAGTAAAGGCTACATACTCACTTGCACAGACATGCATCCATTTTTCAGCTTCTTCGAACTCTTCATCATCTAATAACATACTAAATTCTTCACGTTTCATCGCTAATCCTTCATGAGCCCTTCGTAACTCTTCAACGACTTGTTTTACTTCACTTTTCGAACGACTTGCTTCAATCAGTTCATTTGTAACATTAATTGCTCTCGTCAGAGAACCTTTTGCACCACGACGTGCATTCTTAGCTTTATTCTTAATCTCTTTATCCATTTTACTTCAAAGACAAAGTTCAGTACATAGCACCATCAGCAAACATATACAGGGTGTATCAAAAAAAGCGCAATCCTCGACTGAAATGTAAATTGCTAAACAAATAATAGACGAAAACGTTAAAGTTTACATTCATTTTAAAGCATAGCCATTCAGCTTTCTAACAGTGGGTTGTTTCTTAAATTTGACTCATTGGTTCGCGGGTAATAATACTTTACGTTATTGCGATTGGAGATTAAAAAAATTGAGATGGAATAACAAATCATGAAAATAACTGATTTTTTCATTAAAACAAAAAAATGTTGCATTTTAATAAATGGATTGTAACAATAAGTATAATTACGGCTTTTCGTCCACTATTTTTAACACAGTTTGAAACTTCAAATGTGATATAATTTTGGCTTGGACCATCTAAGCTGACTGACATCAGCTTGCTATAATTTCTGTTTACATTACATCGCAATTCGATGACACTCTGGCTCAGACACCAGAATGTTTTAATTCTATGATTTTTAGCATTCGTTTAGGATTTTTAAACAACCTGGTCTCTTTTAAAATACTTTTAATTTGTTCTTACGTGGTTTTCCAGATGTAGTGACGACAACATTAAAGTTTAAAGAAGAAAATTCTAACATTTAAACCAACTAAACAATAACATAGTAAACTTGCATAATTAAACAGCAACTAAAATGATAGGTTTTACTAAATCTTTTCCTGTGCAATTATTACTAGCATTGGAGACAAGGATAATAGTTTGTTTGAAAGAGAAAAGAACAGGCTTTGAAGTAAGCCTAAAAGCGTTTAACTAGAAATAGTATTTCGAAAGTTATTAAGCACAAAAGATGAATTGCGTTTATTTTGATACACCCTGTAAATCTTCAGATAGTGGACCGATGGCGCAGGCGACAATAGTCAAACAACAACAATGGTTTGGTTTTCTTATTATTAAATTATACAAACACGAAATTTGTATAAAATATGTATATAATCTGAAGCTATAAGATAAAGAATAGAAAGAAAATTACGACTATGTTTACAAATATAATTACATTATTTTACGTTACAAATACACATCTTTGCACTTACATTTGTCCAAACCAGTGATAAACGTTAAAACCATAAACTCAACATGACTTATCCCGGTTCAAAACATTAATTTTTAGCATTTTTTAGACTACTTTTATACGTACTTTTAACATTCAACATGGCTTCCTTTTCGCGAGCTTTTTCTCAGTTCATCACGGGCGACAATAAATATTCTACGTACGTCATGTTATTTTAGTCAAATCAACGTAACAAGTAAGATGGGGAATCCAGATAATTTACCAAGCTTTAAGCTCTTCCCTGCCCAGGAAAGATACAGTGATTTCACGTCAACAGGCCCAAAGCAGCAAGTGGCTGCTAACGATAGTAACTCACTCACATGCAATCGTCAATAGCAAACTCATAACAATTGCCCAAAATTATGCACACCACTACCCACGCCCTAAAAACCCATTAAAATACCTGCTATTAGGAAATTACCACCATCGGTCCACCAGGTCAACTGAAAGAGGAACACATATTACAAGAATATGCAGAAACGGTTTCAGGTCTCGGGTGCCTGGGTCCTCCTGTTCATTTCATGACAAAAGATAACATATCACCCATCCAAATGCCAGTCCATAGAGTTCCTGTAGCGAAAAGAGAGGAAGAGAAGGTAGCACTAGATCGGTACAAACAGGAAGGGATTATTAGGAAAGTGGAAGAGTCTACCCCATGGTGTTCAAATGAATTGATTAAAGAAACACCCAAGAAGTTCCGGATCTGCATCGACCCCAGCCAAACCATAAATAAGGCTATTCTTAGACCAATTGATCAGATGCTAACACTGAATGAACAGCTTCACAAACTGTGTAATGCAAAATGCTTCACAATGCTTGATGTCCGGGATGGGTTTTTACATGTACCACTGGATGAAGAGTCCTTGCACATGACCACAATGCATACCACCTATGGAAGATATAGATGGTTAGGTTTACCATTTGGCATAACCAGTGCCCCTGAGGAGTTTCAGAAGAGGCTGATAATTGCCCTTGAAGGGTCAGAAGGAGTTATCTGCATAGCTGATGACATTCTTGTTTTTGGTGAAGGAGATGACTACAAGCAGGCTGAGAAAGATCATGATCGCCACTTAATTGCACTGATGGAACGATGCATCCAACAAAATATCAAGCTCAATGCAGGAAAATTGCAGTTCAAGCTGAAAGAAGTAAAGTTCATGGGAAACATCATCACATCTGAAGGCATGAAAGCTGATCCGGGAAAGGTGTCCGGGATTATACAAATGCCAACACCCCGCAACAAAGCAGCTGTATTAAGATTCATAGGTATGGTGAATTACCTCTCTCCCTTTTGCGAGCACCTTTCAGCAACCATTCAACCATTACGGAACCTCACTCAAAATGGTGTTCCATTCAACTGGTCACAAGCGCAAGATGATGCATTCACCAAAGCAAAAGAGCTGATTTCAAAATCCCCGACACTAGCATATTATAATTTGAGCAAACCAGTAGTCATACAAGCAGACGCCAGTGATGAAGGCCTGGGTGGCGCATTGCTTCAACCTGATGAACAGGGAAGACTGAAACCAGTGGCATTTACATCATGTAGTATGAGCAGCACCGAGCAACGATATTCTCAAATTGAGAAAGAGTGTTTAGCCATTTGTCATTCATTCAATAAATTTGACCAATGGTTATATGGGAAGAAAGACATAGAGGTGTATACAGATCACCAGCCATTAGAGACAATACTTAGAAAACCGCTAAATAAAGCGCTTGCGAGGTTACAGAAGATGATGATGAAACTTCAACGATACAGTTTCAATGTAACATACAAGAAAGGAAAGTCTATGTATCTTGCTGACACCCTTTCGCGTGCTACACTTCCAGATCCAGTTCGAGCTGAAGTCACTGGGTTTGAAGTATTCAGAATTGAGCTTGCGCATCAAGTTAATGAGCGTAATGCAAGTCTTACCAAGACTACTGAAGGAAAACTGCAAGTCGAAATCAAAAGAGATCCAATTTTGTCTCAGTTATATTCCATGATTATCAAGGGTTGGCCCAATGAGAGACAGAAAGTTGCAAAAGAGTTACAGCAGTATTGGAATTATAGAGACGAACTGACCATACAAAATGATATAATTTACAAATGTCATCAGATTCTCATCCCAGAGTCTATGCAGGCAGATATGCTCAGTAAAATCCATGTCAATCATCTTGGTGTGGAATCCAACATACGAATGGCAAGAGAAGTCTTGTTCTGGCCAGGTATGAGAAAAGCCATTCAGAATAAGTGTACTACCTGTGGGTTTTGTGCACAATACGGCCAGACGTTGACCAAAGAGCCTATGAAGTTGATACCATTACCTTCACTTCCCTGGGAAATAATTAGCCAAGATTTATTTACGCTCGAGCAACGAAGTTATCTGGTCACCATGTGTCACTTCCCAGACTGGGTAGAAGTAGATGAACTAATGGATAATCTCTCAACAACCATTGTTAACAAGACCAAGGTACATTTTGCAAGGTTTGGCATTCCACGTGTATGTCATACAGACAATGGACCACAATTTGTTGGCAAAGCATACAAAGAATTTGCCAAGGAGTATGATTTCAACCATACATCATCTTCACCATACCATCCACAGGGAAATGGCAGAGCAGAGAAGGTGAAGCTTGTTAAGAACATGATGAAGAAATCGGACAATTTTCAAGCTGCCCTATTAAACTATAGAAACACACCTCAGAGAGGTCACTCTTATTCCACAGCTCAACGGATGTTGTGTCATCATACCCGAACAAAATTGCCAACGTCAAACAAGGTTCTTGTTCCGAGAATGATAAACAGAACAACAATACAAGAGGAGTTAGACCATAAACGCAGCACAAGCAAAACATATTACGACAGAGCAGTGGGACCACAACACAACACTTTACGACCTGGTCAATATGCATACGCTAGACCGCCTCCACAACAGTGCGGGAAACCATGGATCTATGGACAAATTACAAGGGAAGAACCATCGCGTTCGTACACATTAAAAACACCCAACAGGATGATAAGAAGGAATCGTGTCCACATCATACCGGCAACACCACCACCACCAGATTCCGGACCTACTTCTCATAAAAGGGCGTCCTCAACCGATGTGGAAGCAATCCCCATCATTCTTCCAAGTCGACCACCCAAAAAGGAAATAACGGTAACGAATGACGGACAAGAACCATCAACACCCATATGACTACACGAACTATCAACGCCCATTCCACCTACTCAGCGAATGCCCATTCCACTGCCCGAGTTGTCAGAAAGGCCAACCAGGACGAAAAGAGTGCCAGAGAGACTAAAAGACTATGTACTACATGGACTGGAACTATTATTAAAATAAAATAAAACTAATTACTGTTAGTATATATATACAATTTTTTGGGTGGGGGAGGAAGAGAGATGTTGGTCAGCGGTCTGGCCCGGATGGTCAGGCGCAGTAGAAGGAAGGGACTGATTAGAGTTTTGTACTTTTCACAGTAAAATCATAAATGTTTAGTAATATAAATATACTTTTATTCATTTGTCTTTGGATTACATTTCTTTGTGTGTGGTCTGCAACTGCTAGGTTCTTTAATTTATCAATATTTTACCCTAACTTGTGAATGTTTACATTTAAAACTCGGCCCAGATTTAATATTAAGGTTTTAAAAAGAAAAAAATTGTTTCCTGCGGTTGTCTTTCTCGAGGTTTCATCATAAACTTTGTTGTCTTATACCTTCATACCTCTTCGTAGATGTCGTGAAGCATCGTAAGACACTCTTAATGTTTCGTAATGCTTCGCAATGATTTCCATAGTCCTTTTAAAAGGTCTAATGTTAAAGTCAGTAAAAAGTGTTTGTGTTAACAACGATTTCTGCTGTCTAGAAAATTGTTAAATGGTTTCAGACTTTGTTACCCTTCTGTGTTTCTAAAATTCGTGAAAATGAAATCTTGTGCCTGTCCTTTATATACTGAGGACGCATAACCAGACGAACAACAAATGCTTGCCCAAATTCGTCCAGACGCATAATGTGTCTCTAGTATAAAAATGGCCATTCTTATCCTGAGAACATCGTGAACACACATATGGTGCCTTTGGTTTAGATCAAGCTTTAAAACATATGCCATTAGTATCAGGCATCCCAAAACAATTACGTGCATGAGGGTCAATCAGATAAAAAACACTCCATATGCTTTATATAAAAGCATATTTATATTTAGAAATGTATTTGCAATTGCTATGCGCATTTTATAATAATGAGAGGGATTGTATTCATCAAGTCAGCAGGTACATTTTTTTCTGAGCCACAATGGGCAATTTAGTGTCACTCATCACAACAGGCGGTTCAATATCACTCACTACAACAGGCAGTTTAGTATCACTCACCACAATTTGCGGTCCTGCTGTTTGCCTCGGCAGGCAAATCAATATTTTGCTCAGATCGACAACAAATATCAAAAGTGAACAGTGAACTCATTCTCCAAACACGATACAATAACAAGTTTAAAGTTTTGGTAGGTCTCTCACGGACAAATACACAAAACCCGGTGGGAAATGAATCAAATGATAAGCCCGATTACTATTCATCGCTTTTATTAATACATTTTGTCGCCTTATAATAAAATACTATATTTTAATGACTTAATATACTTAATATTGTTGGTGACCATTGACTAAGGCCTGTTTCATAAAGGCATGTACACCGCTTACCTCTAGCAAGACTTAACATCAAAACAGTCATTGGGTCTCATTAGGGCCATTTATACGAGCGAAAATAAGTCGTGGCCTAAATAAGCTGCGGCTTAAATAAGTCGCGAACGACTCATATAAAAAATCAATTTGCAATATGCCGTGGCTAATTTAGGCCTAGCTTTCAAGCCTGAGCTTATTTTAGCCGCGGCTTGCGAACAAATTGACTGTTTATACGAGTGGTTTGCGACTTATTTAAACCGCAACTTATTTTCACTTGTATAAATGGCCCTATTGCCTTGATTAATGTTCCCTCGGATAAAAATTGCCATAATTTGTAGATTGCTTCAGCGTCAGGTTGTGTATTTTTTAAAAGTATAGGAAAGAAACACATGTGCATCATCCTGTAACTGGTTCCTGTGTGGCCGGCAAGCATAATTAATTTTCGTAACCCCCCTGAATTGCTGACATACAAACACAAAAAATCGGGATTCAAGCTGGTCTACTAAACTCGGCGAGCGGAGACTGGTACCGTTGAGAATAGTGTGCTGCCTCGCTGAGACTCAGCAGCAATGAAGTGAGCGGAAGTACACACATCATTGGGACAGAGAGGTCTCGTGTGTCCAAGTCATAGGTGACATTTTGAGCACGCTGGACGAGTGGAGTCGTTTGCCTTTGCTGTAAACGATTCTTCCAAAGCTCTCACATCATCGACTTTTGTTAAAATCTTATCTTCCTGGCATTGAATTTCTTGTCGCTTAGACTGTAGAAGTTTATCAACCAGTGAAACGTACAACTGTTCCCGATCGCCGCAAATTTCTTTGTCGTCTTCATCGTCGTCAAAGTCCGAAATAATATCCTCTGGCATGTCGTAAATGAAATTCTCTTCGTTCTCACTGTGGAGATCACGTCGTCGTCGATCATTAGAAAGTTGGAGAGATCTTCTAATGGGCATGTTGGTAGCATTTCTACTCACGGCATTGTCGTCTTTTTCTTTTGTTAATATTCCACCAGCTGGGACTCAAAAACGATGACCTGAATGGTTAACTCTTTGTGTTTTACTAGCAGACCTTTAATTTGCATTTCAAAATATGCCGGGGACAGATCAACCTCAAGATTTCCATCGAGAACTGAAAATTGTAACAGTGCATTTGCTTTGGTGAGATGGGGCACTTCGTTTATTCTTCTTTCTTTAACCCATTAAGCGCCAGCGCTCTTCCCTTGACGAGTAAAATCGTCTGGCGTTGGACAGAGTAAAATACTAAAGTAGGCTGCATCGGGGTGCATCGCCACTCAATGGGTTAAAAGAATAAAAATCGTTGGAAAGAATTTCTTCATTGAGAAAAAATTATGTTGTCTGCTTTCTTGTGTAATAAGAGTATATAATTTTCACAAGTATTTGCACGGTCGAAGACATGTTGTTGACTACAACTTCAAAGGAGATTACGCGCCAAAAGCTAGAAATATCTACACGTCATGATTCGTGCTTTGAAAAACAACAAAGTCATGTGACCAAAATGATCAACTCTTTTGGCCATGTGACTTCAACGAATTTTGAAAATGATTGATCAAACGGCTTTGTGCGTTTTGAGTTCCAAGTCGAGCTGTTAATACTTTACTGATTTCGTTAATACTATATAAAAATGTACGTTTTCAATTGTATTCAGCGAGGTGGCATTGCTTGCACAGAGATTGCATGCGGCGAAGTGAAACGTGGTATTGTTAATCTATTTTTGGAACAAGATCTAACTCCCCCCCCCCTCCACTTTCTTAATTCTCAAATTGTTTATGAAATATTTTACTGGTTGGGGTTAGAGAAGGGGTTGGGATCAGTTTATCTTATAAATGGAAGTAAATTGGCATATGGTTGATAGTTGTCGTAAAAGTTGTGTTAATTGTATGTAGGAAATATAATTTAGATTGTAAAGTATGAGGATGTTTGTGGGCAAAATATATTGTTGTTTTTGCCAAAACTTATGATGAACGGATGGACAAAGATTAGGTTATCGTAAGAAGCCAACGCAGCAAACCCCGCTTTTTGGCTACTGTAGTGTCTAGCATAATTAACATAATAAACATTAATTATGGACCACGAGGAAGTAAGCAAGATGGCGATATAGATGCAACTGTAAGATTATGTTCTGTTAGAGATTATTAAAGAAAGCATAGATAACAATGTTATAGACAACATTATATTGGCGACGAGGATCGTTTCATATACAACTACCTCAAATGGCGACTAGCTTACCAGAATTTGCTTCTTTTGACGCCGAGAATCGGGAAAATATCGAAATTCGATGGCAACGATGGTTCGTGCGATTCGAAAATCTACTGATTGCACTCGATATAAAAGACAAGAAAAGAAAACGAGCGTTATTATTATACTATATCGGTGAAAGTACTCTAAATATCTTTGAAACACTGCCAGATACAGAAGACGACTATGACGAAGCGTGTCAAGCTTTAAATGAACACTTTAAACCTCGCAAGAATACATCATTTGAAATATTCAAGTTCAGGAAAACAAACCAACTTCTTGACGAAACTCTCGATCAATACCATGTACGACTCGTCCAGAAAGCTAAGTACTGTGAATTCTCAAACTTAGATACTGAGATAAAAGCTCAAATTGAGCTAGGGACCAATTCCAAACAACTTCGACGATATGCTTTCCGTAAACCAAAACTGACTTTGGCTGAAGATTTCCATCGAGAACTGAAAATTGTAACAGTGCATTTGCTTTGGTGAGATGGGGGCACTTCGTTTATTCTTCTTTCTTTAACCCATTAAGTGCCAGCGCTCTTCCCTTGACGAGTAAAATCATCTGGCGTTGGACAGAGTAAAATAATAAAGTAGGCTGCATCGGGGTGCATCGCCACTCAATGGGTTAAAAGAATAAAAATCGTTGGAAAGAATTTCTTCTGTGAGAAAAAATTATGTTGTCTGCTTTCTTGTGTAATAAGAGTATATAATTTTCACAAGTATTTGCACGGTCGAAGACATGTTGTTGACTACAACTTCAAAGGAGATTACGCGCCAAAAGCTAGAAATATCTACACGTCATGATTCGTGCTTTGAAAAACAACAAAGTCATGTGACCAAAATGATCAACTCTTTTGGCCATGTGACTTCAACAAATTTTGAAAATGATTGGTCAAACGGCTTTGTGCGTTTTGAGTTCCAAGTCGAGCTGTTAATACTTTACTGATTTCGTTAATACTATATAAAAATGTACGTTTTCAATTGTATTCAGCGAGGTGGCATTGC